TTCCTCCTTCTTCTCTCTCTCTCTCTCCCTCCCTCCTCTCTCTCTCTCTCTCTCCTCAAAAGGTTTTTCTATTAAAAAAACAATAAGGAATTAGAAATTTTGGTGAGAATTCTTCAAATGAAAAATCCTTCCATCATTTTTTAGTAAATGGCCATTATTGCATGATAACATACTTTTTTATTTAAAGAAAATTTTTTCTAATTTAGAGATTGCACATTCAATGATAAAAGCATCTTTTCATTGATTTATCATTTGAAGTTCCATTTATCTTGAAATTTCGCTTTTTCTTACCTCATTTAGCAAAAAACTCAGTGAATTTGCCAAAAATAAGTTCGTTAGATTTACAATGGATGCCTCAGTAGGAATCCGGTATTTTCCGGTACTTTCCGATGAGTTTCTCAAGTTTTTTCTGTTAGGAAAAAATTCCATTGTTGAAAAATTAAATATACTGATTATTGTGCACTCTTCAACGAATGATTCGCTTTCAAAAATATCAGTGTCCAGCTTACTGTTACACTGTTAATATCAGTGGATTTAATCAGTATGAGAACTTTTCATGACATTCTCACCCTATGGCGATTTGTTCCGATCTAGTGAACTTCTTAAATCATTTCACCTCATTTTTTTAATTAATTTAAAAATTCACCTCACTCTCAAGTTACATTTTAGCAAATGTGTTTAATCCTATTAAAAATCGATTAAAATGAATTCAAGTTCGAATTAAATTATGATTTAAGAGAATGATGAATAGAAGGATACATCTGTACAACAGGAATAATAATAAATTACGATCTCTACGATAGTGATGTATAATGGAGGTGCAAAATAATTAATGGAGAAAGTGGAGGAGTAAAACAACAAGTTAAACCTCTAATGGCAGTAGTAGTGAACAATTCCCATCTATGAGATGGTTAGTGACAGAAGTTATCGAATACTAGAATGAAATTTGTACGATATTTACAGAATACTTTTTCAAATATCTATAAAACCATTCAAATTAAATCAAAACAGTAAATAATAACTTATTAAAATAATGGATATTATTATCAGATATCAGTCAAAGATAGCCAACACACAGTTGGTACTAAATTATGAGATGTAACTGAAGAGGTAATAATTCAAGTTTATTTTCGGTTGCAATAAATTCCAAAAATATCCAAAAGGATGGTAGATTGAATTCTACTAACCAAATGGTCGCTGCATAAATTCATCACGGAATTATGATCTCGTTTACTGAAAAGAAAAAATCAATATCGTTGCCTATCGATAGCATTTTGGATATCCGAATTATCCAGGACAGGAATCTATACTATTACTAACACGAAAATCATTCTTGTATTTTTCCGACTCCACTTCATCAATCACATATTAATATATCTTTCCGCACTTTCTCCTTCAGGTCATCTTTTAAATGGAATTTGGGATTATCTCGCCATCATCACCGATCCAATTTCTCTTTCTTCTAAAATCAATCTGTGTGTAATATTTATTCTCGCATGAAAATTTTTCCCACCACTGTGTAAAATGTTAAAATTGATGAAAGCATGAGATCTCTCTACCTACCAATGGCTATTCTGAGGTAACTTTGATTCTAAACTGATAAATGAATTAATTACTTATGTGCTTTTTTGTCTGATTCCTGAAATGCGCCCACGCAAAGCAAAGTTAGCCTGGAAAAACTAGATTTGCTATTTAATAACATGCAACTGTTGGATAGCAAACTTTCGACAACTCTTAGTATTTTATAATTTCTATTTCTGCATTTCTTCAAATACTTTTCACAGATCTAAAACACAAACATTGATGAAGCAATCAAACTGACCGTTGAGTCTCTAAGAGTGTTGACTATTTCATGCAACTACTTTTGAAAGAAAGATATTTGTCACATGTCACTTCACTATTTTGATACCCAATGATTTGAATAAATATAAACATAGAAGCATTTAATTGTTTAGTCCCGTCAAGTTCAATTAATCAAACTAACTCTTTCAAGTGATTGTGCAATATATTGCTAACATTATTGAGATATTAAATGCCGTAAAAAACGAACAAAAAACATAAACTGAATGACGCGGTATTCCAGAAGAGTAAATATGCAGTATCAATTTAGTTGAACATATTAAAATAGATTAACTTTAAAAATGCTTACAAACAACTAATCAGCGAGCACTCACTAAATTGTTAAAGTCACACTGGATAATTTCATTATTACTAATTAGTATTGGATGACAAATCTGCTTTTTTATCTTTTCCCTTTTGATTAGAGCATAGAAAATTTTGAAGAAAAAATTACCTTTATTTTTAATTCAAATTTTTAGCCAATTTCCTTTCTTTAATAAAGGTTAAATGAAACTGAAATAAATTTAATTCTCAGAAATTTTCACTGAATCTGGCCAAAATCCATGAATAATAAGTGTTTTTTTTTGGTAAAAAGCAAATTTTTGCCGATAATAAGAATATAAAATGAATAGATTCCTGTGCGCAAACATTTCTGTTTTTATATCATTTGCAGTTCAGTTTCACTAAAACTAACACTCATTGTTCAATTTTGCATTTAGTTGTGCATTTCGATGTAACTTTTACTAATTTTAATAATTGAAGTTATGATTTAAACGGTGGTCGCATATTCATATCTTAGCAAATTTAATAGAAATCTTATACAGGGGAAAGAAGTAATAATGCTCGTTAATACACCAAAAAAAAAAAAAGAAAAAAGTAATACTCCAATAATGCTCGTTTGATAATTTGAAATCAAATGAATTTGTCTAATTCTTGGCTTTTTTAAATCTATTAAAACAGGCATTGTTATCTTTCGGAATTTTTCAAGAAATAAAAAAAAGTTTTTAGTTTGAAATATAGCAGTGGAAACAAGAGATAAAAATGGGTAGTTCATATGAAGCAATCGGTCCAGTGGAAAACGTTACGATACCACCTGAAGAAAAAAAAGTAGAGAATACTGGTAGGAATTTAATGGACTAATATTATTATCCTGAACACAAACAACCCTGAATGCAGTAAACATGTTTATTGACTTGATCTTTATTTCTTGGCAAACTATCATTCAATCTTAAAACAGCTCAAATTCTCACAGTTTCGTGAATTTGCAATGTTTACATCCTTTAATAATAGCTATTAAAATTTAATAATAGCTAGGACTGCCATTTCTACAGGAATGACATTCATTTGATTAAAAATTAATTTTTCCAATATTTTAATTATTATATTTTCGATTAAAAACTACCAATGCTGAATAATTTTTGGAAAATTTTTGTTTATTTTTTGTGTTCTTGCAACAGAATTTGATAAATTGATTCGTTTGCAGTTGAACAAACAGCACAAAAAGTGAGCAATAGAAAACAGACACGATCAGGTAAATATATTTTGATTCATGAACTAGGAAATACTTTGCTGATCACAGATCAGGAATAATTCAATATCAGATAGGGTCATTGATGCGATCACTCAGAATTACAATAATCATTCGCGCAGAGTTTAGTTTAGCTGTATTTATAGAACGATCAATTCATCCATAATTTAACAGCAATTCCTACTAATATTGTAACCTGCGGCGAAACATTGTTGCTCGAATTAGGAATAAATGAATCTTTTCGTCTTGGATGCATATGGGGAAGATTTTCAGAAAAATTGCATACACCTCTTTAAAATACTTCCTATCATTTGAAATGGACAGATAAATGTAGCTGGTTAGTTACAGCAATTATTCTAATGTGCATATTCATGCCCTTAATGATCGCGTTCTTTTTTGCTGCTGGAGCTGGATTCGGTAAAGCATGGAAGTTAGGTTGATGGGTCAGATTTTAAATTTATTTATTTTTTTCTTGAACCATCCCAAATACCATAAAAATTTGACTAGGCAACTTTATGACAAAAATTGAGTAATTTAAATTGCATCATTAAAGATTACAACATATCCTATGTTGTTTTCTTTCCTTTCTTAATCTCTTGTTAATTATCTTAATTAAGCGACAATATACCTTTATAGAAGTCATTCATGGTGACAAGTCATTTTCCTACATTAACAATTGGAATTATTTAAGGTTTAATTGCAATCTAATTCTATAAATTTCCATTATTTTCAGATTATCCCTTCATGCTTACAATTATCAGTAAAAAATGCAACACTGTATCAGATTATCTAATTCGATGGAAGAAATGTGAAAGTTAATAAAGATTTGAATTTAAATTGTTTGTTTCAAAAATAAAGAGAGAGAGAGAGAGAGGTGAGATGAGATGAGATGATCTATGCTTACCAATAGCTATATAGCTGAACAATGAGATCGCAAGCTATGAACTGCAGGAATGTTTTCAGCTCTCATTGACCATTTCTCATTAACATACCACTCAGATTGATCATTACTGATCAATCCGTGACCCATTGTTGACACGTACATTTCCAACTAACAAGCTCTAAGGTAAGTAAATTTAGCTCGGTGAAGTTTACAATGTCCCTCTAGTCGTGACACAAATGCTTAATCAGCAAATTTGTCCTGACTTGAAAGTGATAACCAAACTTCAATGTTAAAAAAATATTTCCTAAATTCCACTTTTCCATTTATTTTTATACTGATAGTACTATTCATTCAACAAATAACTTCCTTCCAACAACTTATTTGACAAATAATCTTCGAAAGAAATTTCGGTGGCATCAGAAGCGTTATGGAAGCCTCCAAGTTAGACGTGTTAGCTAAATATCTTACGTCGAACAGCATTCCCATGTTTCACAATTTATTGAAGAATTGAAAAATTCCGAAATTCTCTCTTGAGCTCAATCTGTTTAAGTAGTGGTTGTGTAAAGCATGAATAATTGCTTATTTCCAGTGATATTAAACGTCGTATTACTGATACATCGGTTAAAGTATCAATCGCAGTCACATCAGCAAACAGAATATGCGTAAACTTGTAGCCATGAAAAAGAGACATGCTTTTCTCCTACTATGGCTATGAAACTTTAGCTCCAATTTCCCTAAAGAGAATGTTACTGAAATCTGCCGGAAGAAGGCGTTTCATTTGCATATAATATAGATGTGCTAGCAAGAAGACAAAATGAACTAACAACGAAATCAATGGAGAAGCTCAATTTATTGCCACCATTTATATTAATTTTGGGTTAAATGAACTTTTTCTATATTTGCTGTATTTTAAGACCCAAGGAGAACTGCAGCAATGCAAGCTCAATCTGTTGCCACCATTTATACTTGGCTATGGAACTTTAGAAACGAACACTGAGTGGAAAATACCAACTGTTTACAGGGTGGTCAAGAAACATTGAACAAATAATTGGAGCTGAGAAACTATGAGAAAAACATAAGGGAATGTACGTTTTAGAACCGGTAAACGCGCTTTTCACATAGGTGTGGAAGAAAGCGGACAGGAGATATTGTGTTTATATCCTCTAGAAAGTACGAGTCATAAAATGAACTCATGAATGAAGTCCCAGCATTTCTTGCTTTTTAAACGAAGTGCCTGAAGCATGAAAACATTGTCCATTGTCCATATTCATTATCCTGTAAAATTCGAGTAACACAACTGAAGGTATCCTAAAATCGCTGTAAAGAACCATTAGTCTGGCAGAATTAATCTTCATTTTCTTGATGATGTTCTTAATCATCATCTTCCTATCCTTGCTGTATTTTCCAATGTAATATAAAAACTCTCGGGGCAACTCTTAATAACTGAATCAAGCGCAAAACCTAGAACTCTTTGGGTGGACAAAACTGGAAACAGCACGTAAACTCAGAATTTTATTCAAATGAAATATCATCGCTGCACCAACAACACAAGACAATCCACCCAAATTCATTATTTTCTACGACAATTTCGAGGATTTCTTTTCCCCTCAACACTTTGAAAATAAGTTTCCTCACCTTTCACAATTTCTTAAGAAAATTACGCAGAAAATACGGAAATGTAGCAAAATTCAAAAAAATGTGTGTTATTAATGTGGCATGTAGTTTTAAAAATTTGGCAGTTGAAATCGTCTGGTACAATAACAAAATTAAACAAACGAGATCTTACGTATTTCATGTGGACGATTTTATGGATCTTTCATATAATACTTAAGTAATGTTAAAATTATAACCAAAATATGCCCAATCGTAGTAAACAGAAACAATCATCCAAGGGAAAAAACTTAAATATGCATTGCATACACACATTTTGCCTGTTCATGGAGCCGAAACTTTCGGGTGTTTGGAGCCGCGCATGTAAGCATCTAGTTCTCGATCCAGCTCTTCACTTGTTACTTGTGGTTTCCGAGTTGTGTTCTTCAATCGACCAAAGCCACCTCGCCTTCTTTTCGTCAGCAAATTATTACTGCCGAATCGAATACCACCTTTCGTTCCTCTTTTTGTTATCCGGCCCTGAAATTATCATTCCTGTACATTTATATTAAACATTTGACATGGAAAGTATTTAATGCAAAATTTCTGATTCTTTGTAAAATTTCCGAATTAGATATGATAACTTCAACAGTTCCCGAATTTAAATAACAAAAAAAAAAAAAGGAATCAACTTGAAAAGAAAAAGAAAACTAACCTGTGCGACACCTCTCATGAAATCATTCTTCGTTAACACGAATAAGTCCATCACTTTTCCTGAACAGATCGAATTATTAAATAAACAAAACATAACTAACTGACAGTCTTAAACGAATTATATTTTAAACAGTAGTTTTTCTGTAGAATTGCCAGTTGTTGTTGTTGGTTGCAAAGAACCCAAACTGCTCTCAGCAGATAGTACAGCTGCTAGGGCGTCAATCAGGGTTTAACAGTGTTAATTATATTTATTTTCAATTATGTAGCAGTCGAAATTCTTGATGAACTGATACGCAACATATGTGTCATTAGTTCTAGAATCATCACAGTTATATTTACGTCATTTCAAAAAGTTAGTTAAATGAGAACAAATACAGATATTTGTAAAATTAAAAGTTAGGATCGAGAATCGACTAAATTGAGACTGAACCATTTTTAAACATAGTAACAACGAGAACGACGCACTATCATTACAGCATTAGAGCAAAATGTGCTGAAGCAATCTCGATTTCGAAAAAAGTAAAGCTAGCTCTCACCGTCTAATCTTACTCCGGTAAACTGCCTTTTCAATTTCATACCATCTTCAAATCTCTTGAATATCACAACAGCAGTACCAGATGGGTTACCATCTGGTTCATACTGCACAGCGACATCCTCGTAAGGATGTTCTGCAAACAATTCCTGAAATAAAATACAAAGGATTCTCAATTTTATAAAAAACAGTCAAGGAATTTCATCATAGCAACAACGGCATATGATATTTACCGAAAGTGGTAAAAAAAAAGATGACGGTTCATTGGAAATAAAAATTTAGTCCAAAAGTTTTAAAACTACCTGCAAGTCTGTTGTGGTGACCATTGGTCCGAGATTTGAAATGTTCACAATGCACATGTTGCCATCACGCTTGAGATTGTTCAGACGAAAACTTCCTTTTGGACGCTGAAAATACAAGAAGTCAAACGAAGTCAAACACGTAAAATTAATAAAGCAAATAAAACCATAAAACGGTTACCCGACTGGTGATTACAGGGATTCGACGAACGCCACCGCGAAAACCACGTATACCAGTACCAGGACGTCGATTCGTGCGGAACTTGGGACCACCGCGTGCAATAATTTCGTCGAGTGAAAGACTGATCAAATCATTCACAGACATTATATTTCGGTGAACGTATATTCAATTATATGAGAGCAAAGGATATTACTAATGTTGACGAGGAAAATAACAATCTGTAAATTGTATTATAAATTGTTTAAGGATCAAAATTTTCAAAATCTGCGCTTCAATCCAAGATCTGTACAAGACCTAATTCTGTTGACATTGTATGAAAGCGACCACTAAGATATTTCCCAGAAATACAATCTCTGTTAGCATAAATATCATCTATTAACTTCAGAAGACTCTCCAACTGTCAGTTTGATTTTCCACTAGATATTTATCGAATGGTGGAGGAATCAATAATTGTAACAAATAAAGTCCGACTTCCAAACTATATTCACACACACACACACACACACACACACACACACCACACACACAGTATTAAAAAAACATCAGTGATGGTTTCTCTTTTTTTTTAACACCACGAGATTATTATTTTGGTGGTGATACGGTTGGGGTTTACTGCTTGCTCAGAAAATCCGAATCAATTCCTACAGATACCACAATTTTTCCGTTCTCTAAGCACTTCCCATGTGGATATTAATGGCATTATCTCATTGAACGTGGTTTTCACATAATTTCTGATGCGATTTTTTTTTAGTCAGTGAATTTCAAGCACTCATATAATGATTTAGCAAACATGGATACTTGCAACGACCACTATGTCCAAAATTTGAACTAACAAGGTAAAGCTGGTGAACTATGAGAACTGGTCGTAACAAGTCTACCTAGGAAACGACACTAAAATAGCGCTAAAAAGTAACTCCTGTTAGGCTACGGGAATGTCCCTCCTGAGTGATGGACATCCCGACAAGCACACTAAAACATCCCAAATGAAAGCCCGAGAATTGAACATATACATACACCACAATCAGGGCTCCCATTAGCAAGACTAACAGTCATCGTACAAAAAATACCCTAACGAGATCCATCGCATCGACTGCAGCTCACTACCTTAACAATCAGACAGCGAAGTCTCCCTGATTTTATAGTTTACCTAGGTAAGACATTTCATGATATAGTTACAGTAGTGTTTCCCAACCTTCTTTTGACCAGGAACTACTTCGACTTTTTCACTTGTACCCATAAGAGAGGAGGAAAGGCCATAAGGCTCAAAAATAATAAATTTTGTTAACTTGAAAATAAACTTTAATCAAAACTTTTAACGCATTAGTTGTCAAAAACGGATAAAACAGCTCCCATTTGTTTTTCATTCACGTGCCGCCACCTCACAGACCATATTTTAATTCTTACGAACTACGGTTGGGAATTGCTGTCACAATAAGAATGATGATTTGAGAAGGGCTAGAGATTTTGAGGTTTACAAAACAGTGAGCTTTTAGAGATTGAAAAGATTCTCAAATGGATTCATCTTATGAGTGGGCTAGTGATCGAGAATGGAAGAGATATTGTGATGAGAGGAGTAGAGGTGAGTCAGAATTGTGGAAGTGGAATGATGACAAGTGATCGGTGGCTAGAAAGTTGATAACCTTTGTTTAGTTTACATTCGCGTAAGAATACCTTACTGTAGTCAAATCATTGTTATGGGAGGTCTAATGTCATTCCTACAAGCTGTATGACAAAGCCTAATTGCAATTTAGTGTCACTTTTACAGGCTGAATGACAAGGCCTAATGATACTACTACATGTAAAGGTCTGGTTACAGTTCAGTGTCACCGCTATATTTACAAACGCTGCGATTTCTACAGAGAAGAGGGAGGGAGGAGAGTTGGCTGCTTTCTTGGAGTTTCATATTTTGTTTCGAAATTAGGCTTTGTTATGAGCAGTGATCCCGATTATGAACGCCAACAAAGGTTAACTTTCGAAAGTCAAGGAAGATAGGCTTATTATGCATCTTTTTCATGTTGCTTCGTGGAAACGATTGACTATTATTACAAGTAAGTGTCGACAGCTATAGTGACAACATTCATGTACTAAACAATTTCACTGACCTGAATTGAACTGAAATGGACTGAATTTAGTTGAATGAAGTACACGTTCTGGTTAAATTTGATATGAATTTCATTAAACTGAACTAAGACAATGATAAAACAGTTTACTTTGATCCTTTTTATTTTTCAACCATATTCGAAATGAATAAAAATATTTCCGAAATTGGGAGTTAAAGCAACAGATAAATATGGCAAAAAACAGGTAACTGAGTGAATTAACTGTTTTTAAAACAACGGCTACAAGCGATCACTTCCACTCCACGCGGTGCATTTTATCAAACGAGATTCCTTAGCAGCGAACAATAATCTGAAATTAGTTGAAAGAACGGATATGTTAAGTGAAGAGATTTGTCACTTCATTTTTATTTGGCGTGACCTCTCATAGAGCAGCTAACTTTTGTATAATCACTTGATCAAAGGAAATTGGGGTACCGTTGTGAAAGTTTTTTTTGAAAGCATAGCTCTTCGGAAAAAAAGCAAATTTTTAATACCAATGAAATCAGATGACAAGAAAAAACCTATACAGTGTATAAATTTTCCAGTTTTCGTGGATGAATTTTCATTTTCCATTACAATGAAAAACTACTGACGAACCTGTATAGGAAACATGCAAAAAGAGAGGCCAAACAAGGTCCAATCCAGAATATCCCTTGCATTTGTAGAGGTCGAAAATTGCAGTCAATGCTACTATAGCTTGCTAATGCAAATGCTAGTAAAGGATTCCATCCGATGGTTGAATTCAGCAAACTTTAAGCGATTAGTGTAGTAGGATGAAGATAATATATGATTGATTATTGATTTAAATAAAATTTGTGTGGTATTACTCCATTATTTTTCACTGTAAATTGAAAGAGCACACTAATTTGTCCCGATTGGCCCCAAAAATATATCGTTTTTTTGTCTCCCTGACCTTCATTTTTTATTTCTTATCTAAAAGAGAAAGAAATAGGAACTGGTAGGAGACTTACATAGTCGGTACAGTTTATTTCTAAAAAATTCCAAAAACTTTTGTAAAAGGCAACCAACTAACCACAGTAATGATGCAACAAACACAGCGGCAACAACAGAGAGAGGAGTATGTCCAGGCCGTGCCAAAGCTGTCAACCCAAAACCTGTTCGTGTAGTAATGAGGAGATGAGTAATGACGACTAACAAAGTACCAATAAATTGAGAAAAGACCTGCAAGTTATCATTTATGCAAATAACTACATCTCTTATGAGTGCTAATTCATCTGTGTCAGATATTAGAGAAAGTAATCTTCTCGTAAAGACTTTCTGAATCATCTGAACACCTGTTTAAGAGAAATAATTCTCTTTCCATCTATTTTCACGTAGTTTTTTGGGGTTAAGAAGGAAAATATAGCGATAGAATCAACTCTTAGTCTATCAACTTCATTTAACAACATCTAAATTAGAGAATTCAATCAAATATGAATTCATTTCAAATTCCGAAATAATAAGAATCAATTAATGTGGCCTTTAATAATTATGGAGTCTAAATAATCCATACTGATTAAAAATTTACTAAACGGTACGCAGCACCTATGCGATCAACGGTAATACCAGGTATAATTGTGGGCATCTGCAGTTCTGAATCACCAGCCCGAAGCGCCTACAAGAAAACGAACTAATCAATTAGTTACGAACACTTTGACTGGAAAACTATCAATAGTAAGACAATAGATTGGTTATTAATTACCGCAAAACCAGCAACAGCAGTCACAGAGCCAAGCATTTGCATGATGACCATAGCGCAACACATGGGCCAAGCAGTGGTGAGTGCAAAGAATTCAGCCAAGGTAATCACCGGATTCAAATGTACGCTGCAAAGAAATGGTGGTTGAAGAGGGATTTCTTTAATATAATTTTGTCAACACTTAGTTTGCATAAGCTTATTTGTCAATGAATTCGTGAAAAGGCCTGAATGATTTTGTTTTTTACCATTATGTACAATAACTGTCCAGAAAATATGTTGACCCATGTTTTTTCCATTCTTTCCCAACATTTAGGCTCCAATCAGTATTACTTTTTCTTTTTTACCTCTAACTCCTTTCAAATTGGCACCGTTTCAATTTAATGGTAATATGCAGTGACAAATTTGCATAATGATAGCAAATGCTGGTGTGTTTTAACAAGACTGGAACAAATATAAAAAAGATGAGGCTGAAAAACTAGTAAACTCTCGATATACTCCAGTGCAATTACTCGTGCAATTACTACAAATGAATTCTTTCTCACATATTCAAACCGAGCATCCAAAAACTTCGATAACTAGTTCCTTACATAGTCTTTCAGTTCGTTTCATTAGTTGAGATTTACAAAATTTTTTCGGGAAATATTTCTATTCTTTTGTATATTGTTCATCTGTTCAAGTTATATGGAAAGCGATTTTGGTTCAGTTACTGCAAAAAAACTGATATGTAGCAAACAAACGGCAATTTCCCTGTTTTTAGGTCCCATCGGGAAGAGATGCAGCTTTTAAAAATAATAGAACAAATTTTAAAATTCGTCGAAGCGAATCCCTAACCTTTCAATGAAAAATATGGTCTAATTGCGCCAAGAAGAACTGAAGCAAAAAAAAGTCTAACGAAGCTTCGCCACTATCACTTCTTCTATTGCTAATTATTTGATTTTATACTTGATAATATGATTTAAATAAAGAAGTATATGAACAAGGATTTCACAAAGATGATGAAGATCGAATAGAAAGGAAAGGGGATTTCTTTCAGATCAGTTAACAATCTCCAAAAAGTTCAAATCATTAAAAAATGTACGTTTGAAAAGCCATAACCATGGCAAACATAACCACTGAATCGACAAGAGCTTGCAGAATGATTCGTTCAGTGCTTGACGATATGATATGTACTACCAACTCATTTTCCATCACTTTTCCAATGAAAATACATAAGAATACAGCAATAAATTCTGCTACACATGGACGAATTATACGATTGAAACAATTTGGCTGTAAATTTATCTAATATATTCTATAAAAGATTGTAATTATAGATTATTGTTGATAGTGTGAAAGTGGCTTTTTAACGTAAAATGATGCAAGAGATTGGTAAGATTGAAGATATGACAAGTTTGATTATCCACAATTCAGAGAATTTCAGGTCTTTCAAACCTGTCTACAGTTTGTTTCACTCTCATTATCACTGCGTTATTGGTTTAATTCGTTAACATTCATTTTTCTTTGTAACTTTTAAAAAACCTTGGACAGAATAATTGAGCTATACTAATCATGTAAGAGTATAAAGAAACCTTATAATCCATATGATTGCATTGATAGTGTAGAGTGGTTGGTGTGTAATAACCATCATATTTAATGTGATTACTCTTCTTCAAAATACTTTTCATCTCCAAATTACTGCTCTTTGTATTTCCATTTACATTCCGCTCTTTGTTGTCTTTTGTTGTTCCATGCAACTTTTCATTCAGTGTTGTGTAAAGGTCTTTTTTAGCGATTGGTGATTGAAGTAATGAAGAACCGTATTCCAAATCATCGTAAAACAAAGGATCCATCAGCAATATATCGTAAAAATACTGAGAAATGAAATAATGGGAATAAGTAGAAGCTGTATATGAAGAGAAATTACCGTGATAGAAACAAATTTCAATTTTTTCTTTGGTAAATTTTAATAAACATGAATTAATGTCAAGAATGGTTTTCGTATGGTTTAGGTGCAAATAATTACAAGAAATAATCATAAGATCACTGGGAATCAATATAACCTATGCTTCAACCTTTATTTTTTTAGAAAACAGGCTCGAGACTTCCTTAATTATCACTTATATTTCGGAACACATCCAAGATGAAGCATGAAAACAGAAATTAAGGTAAAGTAAATCAAGCCTAACAAATTATTTAAATCCGAAGTTTGAAATGTCTGGTTTTCACAGATCACTTAATTATTGGTTGTTAGAAATTGAAAGAGTTATTCTCAGCTGAAAAATTGTTGTTTGTTAGATTAGCCACAAACATTAATGTTAAAACATCCAACAAAAGAATGTATTGAAGTAATTTCGCATTTCTTCTTGCACATCAAAATTAAATTGGAAATTGTTAATCCGAGAAATTTTAATGGAAATTCTGAATTAAATAATGAATTGAAGGTAACAAATTAATGAGATGATTGTGCTGAACCGACTAAAACATATGTTCCTTGAAAATGTTGGCAATGAGTTATGAGACGCTCGAGGGTATTTAAAAATTCCCGTTGTAACAACATTGGAGAGCCAATAGTCACTACTATATAGAAATGGGACAGAGTCCAATTCAGTGAGCTCCGTAGTTTGTTAAAGTCAACTGATGTGTACACAAAATTTAAAAAAAAAAAATAGACAGAAAAGAGCTAGCGCTTAGTTTAATTTAGCTGTTTATGCTTTTAGTATTTTTAGAAAATTTTAAACTTTTTTGCGGTCACTTATTTCAACCAAAAATTTCAGAAATGGAAAGGTTTAGGTTACAAATTATTATTTATAGGATTTTACTTTCTGAGATAACAAAGAAAACATTGAAGTATAATAGCAACTAGGAAAAGGTAAAGCCTGAAGGTACTGATGTTTTTTTCGAAATAATAAAAGTCGGATATAATGGATAAGAATTAAAATGGCACGTGGAAGTTTCTTTGGGAAACTTTTGTTCCGAAATTTCGAAAATGAAAATATATGCAAAAAAAGTGGAGAGCGCAAATTATTTTTTTCAATGTAAAAAATCCGCAAATTTATCAATAAGATTCAACGCTGAATGGAAATTACAACAAAAAAGTTTTTTTTTCTCTCATCAGTAAGAGCATATTGTACTAATGTAACAATTAATTAATGGAGGAAATGAATTCGAAATGATGTAAGAATCGGGAAGATAAATTCATCCAGATATATCATTAATCCTTAGTGATCCAATACAGCTGTACTATTTTTCTTATAAAGCTATCTACCACGTTGGAAGGATCTTATTGCCTTCATTTATAGCTCTGAAGGTGCTGTTATGTTGGGCAGCTTTTTGAAAACAATATTTTAATGACATCAATCAACTGCTGAGGTTTTATTACGGCTCCTCCGATGATTTCCTTATTTCGTCTGCTTCCTTCTTCTTCTTCTTCTATATAATAAAAAGACTTCGTTTCTTTTGTAAAAATTTCAAGTAAAAAAATTACAGTTGAAAATGTCATCAAAATTTGTATCAAAGAAATTTGCAATGCAGAATTAAATTTTTGCATTTAATAGCAGTTCAAAATGGCTTCACTGCATCACAACACATTTACTCTCTTATCCTTACTCTCTTTTTTTTGCTTCTGCACATACAATTAATAAAATATATGAGAAAATAATAATTAAGAAAAATTACAGGAATAAATCACAAATGCAAATGTAATTCATCGTCAGTTTGTAGAGATATATCGGAGCTGTTTTTTAGGTTTCCTGATTTTGTATCTTGGAATTTCAAAAGTAAATAAGCGAACTTTTGAAGGTTTGATTTGGGATATCAAAACTCGAGTTTCAATGACTGGAGAAGAATGATTTTCATATTTCAACACTACTTCATTTCAGAGTTATTCTTATATAATTGCCTAATTCTGCCTGCCCTATGAGCTTGAATTTGTGACATATGGAATATGCAAAAGGTCAACCAACAATCGACAGTATTAACGACAGTACATGTGGACTTATGAATGGACTCTTCACCAATATCAAAAACTACCTGAAACAAGTAAATATTTTCGACGTAGCATTTAATCTATAATTCGGAATTGTAAAATTCGAATCAAAAATGTAAGTTTCATCAGCCTTAATGGCCATCATTAAGCTCTTCTTGTGCAGATACTATTTTTCATAAAATTTGGCAAGTCTTCAGCGCGGATACCTCATGCAACTGAAACCCAAATTCTTCCAAGGTTCTATCAATTCCAGTAAAATCAGAGAAAAAAGATTCCAAAAATAGAAGACTTACTTTATGTCTATTAAGTATCAATTACTGTTCCGGTAGTTTATTGTTTTGTTGTATAATCATCACATGCTCACTTCCCTTTTGTTCGGAAATAAATATTCGCTCGCAAGTAATTTCTCATAAGTTCTCGTATTAAGTAGAAGATTACATTTATTTTCAATAGTTTTAATTTCGTTTTCAAAGTATGTCCTACGATAACGATCACCTTCTGAAGCGACAATGCTAAACAAATCCATAGTTCCTTTACAAATTTCATTTCGTCTACTTTTATCTACTCCTGTTGTTACTTAATAATATGTAACATTAATCTTTGACAAATTTTGATTCATAATTTCTTCAATCATTGCAATTCTTTAGATTTTCACTGATCACCAAAACTCCTAACTTCTGGAAACATTGATCTTCATATCGAGGTATCTCTTAAAGTTTCTAGCTGAAAAAACTAAATAGGAGCAGTTATTTCGCTATGTTGTCGCATACTGAGATATCTCGAATGATAATATTGATACGTCAGTCCTGCGTGAATCATCGCAAATGATATATCGCTACTGAATATGAAAGTCCGGAACAGTAATGTGATCTTATCATTTCGTGATCCCTTTCTTTCCGTGGAATGACTTCCGCAAAAGGGGCATTTTATTTGCCTGATGGGTTGTCGGTCTCTCGAACTGCTTGGAACTCTAGCGTGCAACATGCGCACATTGTGCAGCTAACATATAATGCTGAACATATAATGAATTACTGCCATAACAGTTGACGTATACGAAAATGTACGTGAGTTATCCTTCTTTAACAATCGCGAAACGTAACTTCCCCAGAACTTCTCACTCATTCCCGAGACATAACGGGCGCCAAATTGTTTTGCAAACCTCAGTTTTAATGATAGTTTTTGTTTGTCTTAAAAACGCTTTTTAGCTGCAATAATTCATAGTTGTCATGTGATCGTTGTTTGACAACAATGGCGTTTTTTGACTTCTGTAATTTTGTTCTCGGTTTGCAAGTTCGGGATGATGGTGCGGGGCGATGTCTCTGATACGGGGAGCCTCAGTGACTCGGTTAGTTCTTTCGTGTACTTTTGCTAGTGTATACCTGGAAACTCCTTTATTCGATATTTTTCGTCGACAAAATGACAGATAGAGCCTGGATGAAGTTCTCAATAAGTAACAACAGCATAGATACTGCAGGATGAATCACAGGATAAGAATAAACTGATGAGGGATGACTTGGACAATGCTGAGGAATTGGTTTTCGATTTCGAGGCTTATCCCATGTGTGGTGGTGATAAAGAAGGTCTTGTCAATCTATTAACACAGGTATTTTTTAATGTCTTCTCTTTTTTCATTTATGCATGCCAAAATCAAATTCTAAACTTGCTAACAGGGACGCATATCAAGTCAGAGTAGTAAGACACTATTTTATTTGTTTTTAAAACAAATGGTGTGATGTGTTTGTTTTTTCCATTCCTGTGAATAATAATATACAATCCACTGATAGAATTGAAAGTTTGATTCTTTTGAAACAGGTTTATTTAGTCGTTTAACTTGTAGTTCATATTATGCCATTAGCAATGAATCACTTCTTGGTAGTTATTGCACTCTCATTCTGTTTGTTGTGTCGTTAAGTTTCCTAGAAGGTAATGAGAGGCTGAAAGGCTTACTTTATTCACATTATAGCAGAAAAGCTTTCGCTTAAAGAGTAGTAATAATGTGAATATCGTGGATAGCGTCACTTTTTTATAGATCTTTCTCCGTGCCGATGTAGATGTGAAACAGATGGCTGATATCCTAGTAGAACAATCACCATTTGGCTGTGTTTACCGAGTACGCTTTTTTGTTATTTGTAAGAATTGTGACCATTTAAATCATTCTTTTTATCTCTATTTTGTAAACAGCTTCCATCTGAAATATCAACATTATTCGATCGTCTCATATTGATTGTATCTGAGTAGGGAGCCTCGAAGGGAATGATTTCTTAGGTCTAGATCGTTACATTTTTCAGCCTGCTGAGGAATTTATGGATGAGGATGATGACGGTATTGTGTATGGTGTGCTGTCTATGTTAAATTTGGGTACAGATCAGGTTACTTTTCTTTTCTTTATCGACTCCAGAATCAGATATTCGTATTGGCCTGCTTTTCAGTGAGAAGATGCTTTCTTTTCCTGCAACTATTGCTTCCCCTGCCTTAAATACGTTGGGAATAATCTGGCCTACTTAAACGCACTACTCATTTCTTTTTGTTTTTATGTCCAGTTTGTGTCCAATTTTGGAAATCATTGGGATGTTTTATTGCAGAAATTCCAGACAGATATTTGGACTTTGCTGAAAACAAGAGCACAAAAATATTCCGTCGATAAAAAAATATCATCTATTTTGGATAATTTATCGACTTCAGAATCGGACATTCGTGTTGGCTTGCTAATTAACGAGAGGTTGCTCCACTTTCCTGCAACTATTGCTTCTCCTGCTTTCAAATCGTTGATGTATGCTTTTTTTTACTTCTGCAAATTTTTTAAGGGTATTCCTTTCTTTTTGCTGCGTTGTGACCTATTAATCTCCTCACTACTTTTCATTCTTGCTGTCACTCTCAATACTCCGGAACTGAAAATCATGCATATTTCAGTTTATTTTCCCTCTAAATTATAATAATTCGTCCTCCGTAAGGAACTCTTAATTTGCTACAATCTTGAAATGGAATAAGTCAGAAAATACAAGCCTTCGAATATGAGTTATCCGGGACGGAATATATTATCTATGTATAACGGTGGTACAAAAAAGTTAGAAAGACTTGGATTTCAACACATGAGTTCTCCATATAAGTTTTCATGATCGCTCCCGAACTTTCCTTTCATTTCTTTTGACTGGAATCTTTGATTGCAAAGAGCTTACTCAAAAAAAAAAAGATATTTCATATTGCAAAGATTTCAGAAACCAACGAGTCCTCCAATAAAATTTTTTAGTGAGTTTTGCAAATGGAAAAAAATCTTAAGTAGTTTCAGCGCTGTGTATATTTTTTTAAAACTTCTCCTTTTAGAAATGATCTGGAAAAATCTGGTACGCAATATCTCTTTTCGCATATTATTTTGATTTTGAAAATTCGAATAGCTGATAGCAACGGTAATAAAGAACGAAATGGAGCAAGTACTCCCAATATATCCAGAAACAGGAAAAAGTTAACTAAGGCGCAAAAAAAACGCGTTGCTGCGAGCGCGATTGCCAATGCCAAGGTTATTTATGATAACTGTGAAGAGGAGCTTTTGTTTCGGGTATGAACCTACATTCATAATCTAGTAGTTTTTCGAAGCTCAAATTCTAATTCATAATTGTTGATTTCCTGATATCTGAATTAAATTTAGTTTGTTTTTTGGTTTGTTTTTTTTTTTTGACTTTTAACTGTCCTTACTGTTTACACATTACTTATTTAGAAAATTATAGTACTTAGAAACAAGAGGTTTTATGATGTTTATACTTCTTTTCCACTTTTTTATTTCAATGATTTCAGAATGATTTGCAGTTCGACTATTTCCAGTACCCAGTTCATTCAGATGTAGAAAAGGATTCTAAATTTAGTTCAGTTATACTGGAAGGTGTCATTTATCGACCTTACAGGCGTGTTTGTTTCCTTGATAATAGCACGTTTCATCGGTACATTGAACTTGTTAGCTTAGCAAAAAAGCTTTGACTAACGACTTTTCGTTTGATAATATTCCGATTTCATTGATAATTCAATTTATGCAGTCCTCGCGGTTGTTTTATCTATCTATATATAGTGTTCTTCTAGAGTTATTTTTTTTTAATTTTGAAGTATGTTGTCTGTTTGAATTTTGGATAAAATAAATATTTCGTTGCTTTGCTACGAGGCACAGTATTATAGTGTCATAGTTTGTTGAGATCAAAAATCCATTGCTTGCTGTTCCTGAATCATTGCAACGGGCGGAATATATTCAAATGCAGTGATGAAGCATATCTTAAACATTTGCAGAGTCACTTAATGTTAAAGTCTTCAAATGTTTAATGATGAGATTTCTGGTGTATTTCCACTCAGGACTAAGCATTTTTGATGTGTTTGGACTTGAATTTTACTTGGCTTGCTCTATTTTCGATTTTAACAGTGGAGGTGAAAATTGATTTGCTTCAAAATGATTCGTTCTCAAGCGCGAGAGATTGTGCGCATGACCATGGTTACCGCTTTGTGAATTTGACTCGTCATTCTGAGATTTTTTCCTTGTAATTTTTAATAATGATGATGGGAATTCCTGATTTAATATGAGTGTCACCACTCTAATACTATTAAATTGCATTTCGTTGAGCTTAACTGTTCAGGGGTGTAGTCCCTTATGAATAGAAGGGAAGTCGGGCGGATCAGAAATTTTAGCATCCTATATCAATATCTTCAGTTGTTTCAAATATTTGGAACAGAAAAGGAAGCTATCAAAAGATCCGTTAAAAAGCAAATATACGAGAGGTTTTGATTATGGATTTAATTAGCCTATCCTCAAGTTACTTCATCCCTATCTGTTGTATGTCATAAGTAATGTCACTTGTATTTTGTCACTCACTTATATTCACTGAACAAGTAATCTTAATTCTAATTCTAACATTAAATTATAAGGATGGGATCACGTCAACAGCAGACTCCAATCAAACAATTTCAAAAACTGTCATAACGCATATATAACATGAGCAAGTGCCTAGCAAAAAAGAGTAACCTGTAGTTGATATTGCAATAACTGGTACAAGCTTCTGTCTGAATATCCAGCATCGGATAGCTTTGAAGGGAAATCATTGGGCGATACAATCAAAAAATCCGATGAGAAAACATCTTCGATACGGTTTTTCACTGAACATATGCATAACATTTGTTATGATTTGTGATTATCGTTCTGTTCCACTTAATTTTTTTTCGCAGTGAGTAGTAATTGAAACAAGGTTTTTAGAGGGTTTATGCTACATTAAAAACTTTCTTTTTTTCCAGTTTCAGGGCAAAGTAATGCACTATGTAAAACTCAGTTAGTTACAACAGATACTAGACAACTTCAAGTAATTAATCATTTGTATTCATAGAAGAATTAAAATCTAAGAGTTTTACAGTGTCAGTTACTTTTGAACTAAACTAAAATAACAATTCTTCTAATTGTTCAATATATCTTATTGCTTGGGTTTACGACTTCCTTGAAGAGAGTTATAATTTGGCAAAGAGATTAATACTATTACAAATTAGCTTTTGGTGGTTTTTGCTACCCGATATTATTAAAAAAAAGTATTTTTCCTTAAGTTTTTACACCTATATCTTATATTTACTTTATTCATGAATATCTTATAATTACTTTATTCATGAATATTCAATGTTATAGTTTGGTGATAATGATCTTTCCAAAGATTCAAATAATATGGTACGATTATCTTTCAAAAGCATCGTTGGTAGTGGGTCATCTTCAGGCACCATAAACTCGGCTTATTCAGTTACTGATGAGATCTGGGAAATAAACCAGGAAAATATGTCTGATCATGATATGGCTAGTTTTAAAGAAAAAACTTCAGCTGAAATTTCCTCCTCTTCATTTACAAGAAGTCGAAATTCTTCTAAAAAACTCACAAAAAATATCGACAAAAATAAAATCGATGGGCCTCAAAATAGGAACTTATGGAAGTAATGATAGCAGTAATAGTAATTAAGAGTTATACTACTGCCTACTAAACCACTGATACAAACAAAACAATATGTATCAAGATCAGTGACCCAAGGAAATGAATATGAAAGTAGTACTAACAGCAAGATTTCGTTATCTTCTACGACAAGAATGAGTGAAAGTCCTAAATCTGATAATTATGAGGTGAAAAAACATGGAAGAAGGGAAAAATTGGAGTATTCAGAAGGAAACCAGAAGCGTAAGAAAAACAATAACATTCACAGTATGCGGTTCAACAAACTGAATTCCAGAAGCATCCAGAAATATGAATCGAGAAAGAGTCATAGTGAAAATAATCGAAATTCTTGGAAATCGAATGTTCTGGATAAAAGGTCATACAAGGTTAGAAACATTCCACCAATTACCGATATGAAAGTTCCGCAAATATCAAATGTCATATTGCTGATCATGAAAAACCTGTGTAAGCTGACCTTTTATGGGGTATCTCACGCTAAAACATACAGACTTGTTAGCATATTTTGATAATGGCTCGAGCAAAACCGAATTTGACGGAAAAAGATGTATTAACAACGTTGCGGTTCAGACAATTCATGTAGAACGAGATAGTGACCTCTTACCTACGTTTACTCCTCTTCTACTGAGAGATATTGAGGGTTAAATTTCCTCTAAAATCAGTTAATTAGATCCAAAGTAATCTTTTAAGGACGACTAATATGCTCAAACATCTCGCATTGCTTATATAATCAATCCTACTCAAAAGCAATTCTTTTTTCGAATGGCAAAGTTGAAAACGTAGGAATTTTCTATTTTAATTTAAAATATTCTATTTTAATTTTAATTTCTACTTCTTGTTTAAATCTTGTTCTAAAACTTAAACAAAACTGCGTAGGTCAAACTTGAATTTATTTTTGCAAGTTTTAAATTGACACCTTAGATTTCAATCTTCATTTAGTAATCTTTTAGAAAATATGAAAGAAATGAGTAAAAGAGAAGTTATTTCTATAGATATGCAAACACGTGGAACTGATCAGAAGACAAGCACGACATGAAAAGCGAATACTGGAAGAATGGAATTCTGTTATTAGCGATCTGGGAGAACGATGTCATTCGGTCAGTTTCGAACGATTGAAATTGCTTCTGAATGGTAATGATTATTCCTACGTTCTTGAACTTGAAATACTATTGATGTTATTACACACCACTGATGGTATCAATTCCACTAATGATTCTTCATGCCTAAATCTAATTTGATTACTGTCTCTTATTTTATAATTATTTGGCATAAGTAAACCTTGCAAACGACTAAAGAACAAAAAAGATTTCTAATGATCACAATATTAAGATCTGAATTTTAAATATGGCCTGTTATTGCTATATCAAAAAAGGATATGTTATCTGCCTCTTTACCATTAAGCATCCTATTCTATTCTATTCTCGAATTCTTGTTCCGTTTCAAACTCCTCATTTTTTATTTTAAAATTTTATTTCATATTACAATGAGAATCCGTTTGTTCTCTCCCGGGTTTTATTAAATTATTCTTCTATTGTCGAATATTTTTCTTTTATAGAATTTTCCAAATTTTTTCATGAATTTGGAGTAAAGGAAGCAGACTCAGAAAGATTCACAGAATGAAACAAGGAATCATCGCTTTTCTTCTCCTCCCTTTTAGTCATCGCCCATCAACTATACACATTCCTTTTCTATACTAAAGTTTGATTTTAACTACACATTGTTAAGGGGCAACAATTTTTACTGCGTTCAGTAACAATAAAGCATTTTGTGAGATTAAATTTAATAATACAATAAGTTAATATAGAATATCGAAAATTTTATCATCAATATGCCATTTTTCTCTCTCTTTTTTTAAAAGGTAAATATTAATTTGTTTCAAAAAGTTTCATTCTAATTTCAAACAGCTGGGGAGTAAAATTTGTTATGATTGTTCATTCAAGTTCATCCAGTGCAACTTAATAAATTCTTTGTGAAAATACGATGAAATAACTGTGAGAATTAATTGTCCCACAATTTATCGAAATTAAAATATGGAAGGCAGGTGTACAATCGTCGTGCTTCTTCGACCGTAATACAACGAGTGGCTAAAAATCATTCCCGTCATATGGTAAAATATGATGAAAGCGCTTCAAAGAAATACAACAATTAGTCGTGAAATGCAGGAAGAATTTGACAACAATATCGTAAAAAAAAGACCTATCTCTGTAAAGCCTTCGAATTTAACTATAATAAAACAATATAACACATGTGTTATTGAAATAAGTCAAATTCAGTGCCTCATATTAGTCTTAATCCCTAATGTCCCAACGTTTTATCACTTTTTATAGACATAAAGTGGATTCACTAGAAGAATTAACCTGTAGTGTCCGTGACATTGTCACATTGTGTGACAGCATGAACGGATGGCAATCCCACTGGACAAACATTTTTCCGAGGAGTACAATGTTCTGCCATCGTTACTAAATTTGTTATATTTTTCTTGTAAATCTTCAATAAATTATTTAAATAATCATTACTTCAAAATTATAATTAAATTTAGATTCAGATTTGTTTCACTAAAATATTGTCGTAAATTAGATCAAAAAAAAAGCATGATTCTTGTTTAAATTTGTATCAAATTTACCCGGAACTTGCAAAGTAACTGTTTGCATGGGAACCTGAAGGGGCAAAACAAACTGCTGTGTCTGCGGTATCACTTGTTGCACTGAAGGTATGACCATTAATTGTGTTTGTAGCATTGGTGCCTGCTGTACCGCTATTGCAGGTACATACTGTGATGATGTTATTGATGCCGGTATTTGTTGTACCTGCCGCAGCACTTGACCCGGTTGCTCCACAGTTCGGACAACGTAAACAGGTGGCATACTGGGTTGTTGTATTCCTCCTGTTCTCATTTGCTGAGATAAAATCTGTTGTTGCAGCGAAGTTAGCGTTTGCATGAACTGCTGTTGCTGCTGGTTTTCTACCATTAGTTGACCAGATATTTGGGGCGGTATTGATTGAACTGGCTGTTGAATGAGGTAATATTTCATGACCGGTGCATGCGGTAACATAAATTGTTGTTGTTGTTGTTGGTAGGCATTAATACCAGTGAGTATTGTTTGCACTTCAGCTGTTGTTCGACTACACGGTTTTTGCGTTCCATCGCAAGGGCACAATGATCGAGGTACGGTTTGCACACAATAATCCGGTATACACCAACAGTTCTGGCACTGAAACACTAAACTCTCTGTACATATATTGTTTCCAGCGAGATATTAGGTATGAATTGTAACTACAAAAATCCTGCATCAGCAATTGTCGGAAAATGGATTCATTGCGATATGATCTAAGAAATCAGACTCATATCTGACAACATAAAGCTTCCACATCCAAAGTATTCAATGTAGTAATAATTCCTTTCAATAAAGATGATCAACTAACACAAGCATAAGTACAAACTTTGTATTAACGTTCATAAATTTTTTATCAATAATTTCTGAAGTCTAACAAATCGTGTAATGCAATTCATAATGATTAAAATATGTTTTAGGTGAAGTAATGATTGCGATTGGTGATAACAGAACAAAATGAATACCTGTAGAATGAATGCTTGATTGCTAATGATAGTAATTACAATAGTAATAGTAAGAGATAGAAGGCAGTGACTGAACATCGTTGAAACGTATGACTTCACTTCAACACAATATACGTGGCGTTTTTTTGTCGTTCTGTTAGCAGTAGTGAAAATAAATTCCAATGGACAGACCGATTTATAAGCAGCAATATAAAGGGGAAGGAGGAAAGAGCTATTACTCACCGGACAGCAAAATATCATATTTCAAGATTGATATCATCTGAAATAGTTACTACTTTACATCAATTTTTTCCTTCTACTGTATAACGAAAAGAGATTTCCTTTGTGTTTGTAAAGAGATTTCCTCTGTTTCCATTAAAAGACTTACGTCTTCTAATGGAAACAGGGGCGGTATTGTCGTTTGGCTAGCAATAAATTCGAATCTGTTGGTCACAAATAGTTAAGATATGAATTTTAATATTGTCAAATCCAAAAACTATTGCAGGTGTGTGATAACAACAATATGATTTATTGTATGCTGCCAAATATTTTGAACTGATTTTTGTCAATCTGAAAAAAATGCTTACTACAACTGGAGATTTTACTGCAGTAGAGAAAGAGTTTTTCATTTTTTAATATTTTTAAACGTTATCCACTGGAGTTTAAATATTTTTTTTATTTTAGATTTTGAAAAACAAATATTTGAAAAATGAATGAACTGCGAAGGCCTGAGATGGAGGAATGTCACTAATGTTTCTAAAAAGGAAACATAATTTTAAATGATTTCTCTTAGTGCAAAAATGTTTATTGGTTAGTTCAATCCTATTCGGAATGGTTGCTGCTTCGCTGATTCCTAAACTTTCGATGTTGATAATTTTAGGTATTGAATTCGGTTACATTTTAAAGATAGGTGACAAATGAAAAAAAGATGAATTCAATCCTACTAAAAGAGTGACAGCCTCCAATAATCATTTGATACTTTCATTTTGTTTTTTAGTACGAACAATTTCCAAATTCAATAATTACATTGAGTTTTTTTTTTTGTTTTTAATTTTACGAATATTTTGCCGATTGATGACGAAAACAAAATTGTGGAAAAGTCGAATTTAATATTTTCAGGTTTTTTAACAGTTAGAAAAGCAAACGTTGTTGGTGCTGCACAATGCACTCCAACTGTAGGTTTCATTCAAATTACATATCATCAATACTTATTTTCGTTTTAATGGATTCAAAAAGTAGCTTCAACAAAAGTTATGCATTTCGTGGATCTAAGAAACAACTTGCTTGCTTAGCAAAAACTCATCCCAGATCTTTTTCCTTAATTTACCATGCGCAGCAGCAAACATTTCTCTCATAAATATGCCTTACATTCAGTTTTTCTCGTCTAATCCGCTATTACTGTGACATTAAACCTCATCTTCCAAAACTTCATTAATACGAACCTCCCAACCCTTTGATATTAACTTCAAAGGTCGAAAACTCTAACTTATTACACGAGCTATAAAGCCACTTAAGAAAATGTATAACTTCCCATTCCCGAAATTTTTTTTTAATTTTTAATTAAAAAAAATATATTATTTATTTATTTATTTATTTATTTATTTATTATTATTATTTATT